CTTTACGTTTCATCATTAGTAGTTGACAGAAACACATTGTTATTTTATAAATATTTGTAAATATATTCTATTTTCCATGACTTTTAATAAAAAATTCAATTTCCCCCCTTTTCATCTCCTGACAGTCAATGTTAATTAGCATATTTACCGTTTGACACGCCTGCAATATCATTTGGTTCAGATAGGACGCGCAGAACGGTTGCTTTCTTTTGTAATTCACTTATTACGGTAGCAAAGATTAAAACATCACCTTTGAACCAAAGGTTACATATTCAGTATTAGAGAGTGAAATAGAGAGACATTGATAAGAAAAAATGATTGGTGATTACATAAAAGCTTAATCAATGGGCTGATCAGTGAACTTGTACGGCAGTAGCCGGATATCGCCTGATTCCGCCATTCCCATCAGTGCACACATATGAATCAGTTTGTTGTTTTGTATTTTCAGATTTGGATGGGAAATAAAAAATTTATTATTCAACAGGCTCTCTATCAACTGCTTCCCATTGGTTAATAATAAATATTAATTATCCAATTAATTTATGAAATAATGCCAAAAGCAATCTCTGGCAATCGGAAGATCGATGTCCACTCGTTATCAAGATCAGAATAGAATACTGATAAGTAATTCCTTTAACAATTGCAATGTCTGAGATAGCAAGTATGAAAAAAGAAGAACAGGAAACGAACACATGACCAGACCACGGTTCAATATATGGACGGCACGTGAAAAACGTGGAAATGTGAGAGCTTTCATTTTTTGCGCATGCAATCTGTAGTTAGCGGTCTGTATGCTGTATTGGCGATATGGAATAGATCTTATGGAGATGCTCAAAACAGGATCTTTGATTCGGCCATGTTTTGTACTCAGCATATTAGTCGGCGGGAATACATTTACAATTTGATTTTTCATAATTTGTGTGCTCTATCGCTAATCACTTGATACGGTATTATCATTATAGTCTAAGTAGTATGAGATATGTGTTAGTTGGTGGATTTGGCTGATGAGTATAAAACTGTTATATATGTTAAAGAGAATTTCTTATCTATTAACCCCATTTAAAAGCTCTGGCTAAGCGTTATCGCTATGAACGATGGATGAGGCTCATAACTATTGTATCTCGTGGTTATTCGGCACCCGTAGACACTTTTTTGGACAGTCTGCTACTACTAGTCTCTATCTCTAGTATCTCTAGTATTCACTTTGTATATAAGTATTATGAACAGTCTTTTTCTATATTTCTCACATGCTATCAGAAATGAACCTGCGGCAAGCCCTTTGTGACCAGGATGCTTTTGGCAAAGTACTGTCATTTTGTGGTTGATGGATATAGAGAAGTGTCAGAAAGAGAGGAGAGAGAAAGAGAAACAGACACAGAAAGTTATTTCTGGGTTGGACCAACTTTCTGCTTACCTCAGTCTCAGTCACATTCTCAGATATATCTGAGAGAAGGTGAGCAATAAGACCTCTCTTGTATCTTCTTTCTTGTACCTTAGTGAAGACTCACTCGCTTCTATGCATGGAAGTGGTAGCCTTCTTGATACTCTCTCTCATTATCTTATCGACTGCTTTATATGTGATTATCTCTTCTCAAGCTCTTCTTTTAAGGTATTCCTCTAAAACCAATTTATTAATATGATTGAAACATGCCTGAATCTCGGATTCAACATGCCTTTCCCTTCAACAACTAATGTGAGTTTTCACTCTAAAATTCTGTCATTTAACAACATCTTAAGGTAATGGAACCAGAAGCGAAGAGAGTTCGCTTCAATGCAGCTCAGGACAGTGATAGCAGTTCTTCAGAACAATCGCCCAAACACGATACATCTCTCAACAAATCTTTGAATTCGAGTACAAATGAAGGCTATGAAAGACCTGGCCACCCAGAAATTGTATTCGATGGGAAATTCTCGAGGTAATGATTAATTTGTGACCAAGCATTACACTTTTTCTGTTTTTCCAGTTTTGCGGAGTTCGAAGAAGTTTTTCATAAATGGAAAGTTGCTGGCAGTCATCCATTCAGAGTTGCATCTTCCGAAACCCTCAAAGAACCAAATGGCAACATCAACAACGTTCACAAATATCGTTATGTTGTCTATCACTGTGCTCATTACGGAAATCCAAGAGTGCGAGGTATTTCGAGTTCATAATTCTTATTCTCATGATACGACTCTTAGGAACCGGCAAAAGACCTTGCAAAACCTATTTGGCTTGTGGTTGCCAAGCAGTTCTTCGATTGAATTACAAGTTCAGTGAAAAAGCCTTACGTATAACTACTTTGAATATCGAACACAATCATCCTACTAATCCCGAACACTTTGCTATAAGCCAGAAAACTGGTCGATGTAAGTTGCTTCTCAAAATTCCGTGTACAATAATACATTGCAGCTCCAGCCACGAAAGCTCGAAGAATGAGCATTGTCAAAACTGAAGTTCCAGCTTCACCTCTGTCTCAATCAAGTATTTCTCCGTCACCGTCTTCAACTGTCTCGGAAACAGCTCAAAGCAGCCCTACAAGTACAGTATCTAATACCACCAACAGTTGCAATAGCACTACAAGTGCTACTGGGGTTCAGCCAACGGCTGCTCTCCCCCCTCTTACAGCTGCTCTTCTTTACCAACAACAGGTCAGTTTGTTTTCCTAATGGGCAAATTGTTATAATACTTGTTTGTTTTTACAGTTGATCAACGTCCTCTTGGCTCAACAAAATCTCCAAAAACAAAAAGAGAATCTGGAACGGTTGTCCTTCGGGCAAAGAAATGACGATGGAAAAGCAGTTGGCTTCCCAAACATGTTCGATGTTTTTAGTCCACAGATGGCTATGCCATCACCTGTCATGAACATGTCTCCGTTCATGAACCAAACTAATGTCATTAATAACGAAAACTACACCAAACACGAAGACACAAGTGAAGAGGTCGACGTTGTATCAGATGTAAGTTGATCCTTTGTCTGTCACCTCTCATTGCTCCATTTTTTAGATGAAACCAATCCCTGGACTTATAACTCCTAAAGCTGTACGTCCGGCTGTCAACCAGTTTGCGTATACTGCAGGTCAGGAGCCAATGGTTCAACTCAAATCAGCTTTGGACAAGGTGTTCGAGTTGAGCAGCAACACGTCTGGTGAAAATTTGAAAACGATGATTCCATTATTGCAAGCTCTCCGTGATCAATGGAGAAACCCTCACGTGTAAACTAGGTTGTAGAGTAAGTTGTTAGATACGATTGTAAATTTTGTAATTAATATTAATATATCACAAGCTAACTCAGGTTTCTACACGTTGTATATCCCACACGATCTTATTAACTGTTACTGGTATTTATCCCCTCTCATCTCAAATCCTTATTATATCACTTGTTACGGTTGTTTTACCTCAACATAGTTTGAACTATTAATGATATAAATCTCTTATACAAAGTTGCTATGGACTCAATTCTCAAAGAAACAGTTTCGTTACCTTTCGTTTCCAATACCTTTGCTTGTATACTCTCAGTGCTTCCGATTATTGAAATGTGTTGCTCCAACAGCCAGCTATGGAAAAGCACAATTTTCGGATTTGTGTTGTACACCGATCGTGTCTGAAGTTTTCATTCCGAAAACTTGGTGTAAACTTTAATGTTCGGACAAGAAGCATGGAATAGTTTGCTTTCTATACATACTTCAGCATCTCGTAATCTATGAGCTGTGAGAAGCAGGATAGGATTCTTGCTAGCAGACGTTGGAGTTGTTGTAGTCTTCATAGTTCATGCTACTATTTAACTATTTCTGGAAACACGATAATGGTTAACACTTATCTGATCCAGTTCCCGCCTCTATCGTAACTGCCATCACCGTAGAAGTTATGAGGATTTGACCGACTATCAACTAGGTCATTCAGTTAGTGTTCCATTATAGGCGCTTTTGAAGTGGATTCAGAGAGTGCACTTCTATACTCTACAGCATACCATTCCAAGAAGGAAGCCATGTATCAGTTCCAAGTTATGACGGTGTCTTAGTCATAAACTAATTGAATTGAAGAAACCCTACTGTAAAAGTTTGTAATGCCTTAGGACATGTACTAAGCATCACATTCAGTGAATGAGCAAATACATCATGTTCCTCGTCACGTAGATTAGACGTTGATCTCTTCGATCAGTGGAAGCCTCGCTTGTGTTCCCATTCAAGAACTAATTGCTTTCGTCATCAGTCTCAAAGAATTATAATTCGAACTATTTATTAGGTAAATCTCTTCAAAAGCAATAATTTCTTATGAAAACCCGAGAAATGTGTCTAGCTAATCCGAAGATAACAAGCGCAGCTTAGTCATCGTATAGGATAAGATCTTGTCCGTGTGGGAGAGGTGCGAAGTATGAATCTAAAGTGGCTTCCGTTACTGCGTGCAATTCAGCAGGATTCCATTTAGGCTTTCTATCCTTGTCGATCAAAACTGTAAATGAGGACAATAAGTCATCGAGTGAAAACAATGCACGTACTAGCTCTACATCCCTCGTGGAAGTCATGGTCGGCCAAAAAGCGTTGGGTGAGTCGGTATTCCATGGTGAAGATCTGAAGTTTCAAATGTTAGATGGTTTGAGATTGAGGAGACAAACCTTGGCATAGCTCATTTTAGCTCCATTTTCGATTTGGCGGAATGTAACTTTCAAGGAAGTTGGACTCATTTTAGACAAAGTTTTCAGTTGAGTTTGGGCCCAAGCAGATCCGTCTTTCTCTAAGTTGTCGATGATGTGTTCAATGGTTCTGAATTCGAAAATGAAAAAACGACTTAAACAAGAGGTGATTACTTTCCATGGAAAGTGCTTCTAATCTTTGGAATGTGCTCCTCCAAGGAGAATGCGGGGATTTGACAAGGCTCAAAACTTAAGATAGTGCTGTCTACAGATTGTTCCGTGACATTCTCCAATTGTATAAGTTTTTCTTGTAAGCTTGGAAGTTCAGATGAGGGAACATAGTGGCTTGCGAGGCCGCTATGGAAGGCATCAGCTCCTTGTAATCTGTATCCCGTAAGAGCCAAGTACATTCCGAGGTTATCCTATCAGAAATATAGTATAATTATAATATTCGGATGAATTTAGAACCTTCAGCCTGCTCAAGAAGTAAGATCCCCCTACATCGGGGAATAGTCCAAGTGCTGTCTCTGGCATAGCTAACATCGTTTTCTCGGTTGACACACGGAATTGGCCATTCACGGAAAGACCACAACCCTTAAGCATAAGTTTTATAACTTATTTGATTAAAAAAGTTCATACGCCTCCCATTACGATGCCATCAATGAAAGCAACATAAGGCTTGGTCAAAGATCCAATCAAGTGGTTTAACTGATACTCCTCTCTGAAGGAAAATATATAACTCATATGAATTTATGTCCCTACTACCTGAAGAAATCTTTGTGCAAAGTTGTATCTGCTTTAAGATTGCGTTGAGCTTCCTTAGCAGATTTGATAACAGCTTCAATGGAAATAGTATAGAACGATGTTCGAAAAGCACCAACCTAGGACGTCTCCTCCAGCGCAGAAAGCCTTTTCTCCGGAACCTTTGATGATAATCATCTTAATTTCAGTTGAGTTCTCCCATTTCTACAACGAATTGATGAACGAAGATAGGAAGATGTAACAGTTACCTTCAATTGCGGGTAAATCTCACGAACCATACTCAAGTTAAGGGCATTCAAAGCCTTTGGCCTATTCAAGGTTACAATACGTTTTGAGCCGAACTTCTCAATCAAAATTTCTTCTGAGGATGTCATGAGTGAAGCAACAGAAGTAATCTTCAACTATTTAATTAAAAAGGAACAAGTGAGCTAGGAGGTCTTACCGGTTTTGCAAGGCAGAATGAGCTGTTCTGCAGTAGACGCTGACACAAAGCCATTCCTTAAATGGAAGATAAATTTAAATTTATCGATTAACTATTAAAAAGTAAAATATAAGAAGAATCATGTAAGCATTCAAAAAATAAACATTCTTAAGTGAGACAAGGCGCTAATCGATTCACGTAAACATACTGAACAACTCTCATTTCGTAGATCTATCGATGCTATAGGACTCCAAAGTTCTTTCAGAGATAGCTTATCACTATACATTTAAGAAAAAACCCAAACTACAATTGTTTGTTCTTTCAATTATTCAATCATTCAACTATGTAAAGCTCATCAAACGTTCATCAATTCACGTGAACTACACGTGACCTTCATAATCAAAAAGCTCATTCTGAGTCAAGCGTACGCAAAGAGCGGTTGCATTCATCCAGCACTGTCACTTGCTTACTGTTTGTCTTATTTCCGATGTTCCTGTGTTCATATCATATCCATCTCCTAGTTTAATTATAAATTGTAATTATACGCCATATTTCAATCATCGTTATTCAACTTTTTGGTTTTTTTATGCAAACCTCCGTGTTCGAGTGAGTCGTGCATTGTGTTGGATGAATCATTGCGCTTGGGGGCCTTTATTTTCTTTGCGTATTCGTGTCTTGGCGCCTACAGTGATGGGTCGGATCGTTCTGTCTTGACTCTGTTTCTCTGTTTTAGTCTTTGTATAGATCTCTCCCTATATCTCTTATTCTCTCTCCCTAACACTCATATACAACAACAGTTCGAATGGACTGAAGGAGGGTGAATAGTATTGATTGAATCCGATTTGGCGCGCACCTTTCTCAAACAGTCAGTAACCTCGTTCGTTCATATCGTTTGTTATAACTTTTGTAACTGTTTAAATAGAAAAATTCATTTTTACATAAATGCTTAAGCGCCTTTATCAGATGATAAAGCTCAGCTTTTGTGAAAAAATCTCGAAAAACTTGATATGAAACAAGAATTTTCCTGTTTATTTTTTAGATTTTTGTATGATTTTGTTAGCTTTTTCTCTCCGTGGACTAATGGTCTTCAATAATATTGAATGTTTCGCGAGTTGCAAAGAGGAATGAGTATACATGCTATACAGTACTCGTACTCTTCCCATTTGACTCTTTTTGAGTCTCCTATATCTGATATCCATTGCGTTTGTCATGTTTTGCAGAAAGTATATCCCAAATACGATCTGACTTTGATGACCTTGTTGTGTATGTGATCTTCTTGTCTTCGTCTTAATCATTATTTTCTTTATTTAAATCCAAATTCTATCCTCAATTGTTGTTTTTCTTCAGATGGCTTCTCGTAAGACTGTTAATCGTAGACAGCGCCCACAAAGGGCTACATCCAATGTCTTCGCCATGTTCGATCAAGCTCAGATCCAGGTTTTTTCTCATTTTCATTACGTTTTTCAATTCCTGTTTTTCCCAGGAGTTCAAAGAAGCTTTCAATATGATCGATCAAAACAGAGATGGTTTCATCGACCAGGCTGATCTCCAAGAGATGTTCGCTTCTTTAGGTTTTCCCTCCTTGATAATCCTCTCAAATGTTTTTTTTTCATTCTAGGAAAGGAAGTTAATGATCAATTCCTCGATGCCATGGTTACTGAAGCCCCAGGCGCAATTAACTTCACTATGTTCTTAACTCTATTTGGAGAAAAACTTACAGGTGAGAATGAAGATATCAGTTTGTTTCTCTCAAGATGGATGTTAAGGAACGGATCCAGAGGAAGTCATCCGGAATGCTTTCCAATGCTTTGACGAAACGAATTGTGGGAGAATAAATGAGGAACGATTACGAGAGTTGCTAACAAGTATGGGAGACCGTTATACTCACGAACAAGTAAGTCGAGAAATCTGATTCTTGGAAGTTAACCATGTGTTGTGCAGGTTGATGAACTGTTCCGTGATGCTCCAATCAAGTCAGGTATGTTCGACTACATTGAATTCACCCGTATGCTCAAACACGGAACAAAAGACAAGGATGAGCAATAAGCCGTTTTAAAGTAATTTTCACATTCCTTAAATGGTCTTATCTTATCAGTAATTATGCTAATTATAATGTTTTTTGGTCTAATTTCTATGTGTTACTAATACTCGAAATTCGAAAAACCTGCTTCATATGTACACATGTAACCCACTAAACTGTATCATTTCAGTAACATTCGATAAATTTTTCTTTTTTCTTGGAACTTTCATGAAACAAATGATTCAGCATGATTCAATGTTTTATTTTGCTTTTCATACATCATCACATATTTTGAGAGAATTATTCGTTGTCAGGCTTTCACCAACGCGTTCGCATCCTTTTTCAACATTGCCGAGATAGCTGAAACATTCCGCTGACGTTCTGTGAGTTGCCTCTTATGGTTACTTACCGTTCAGCACGTGTTGGAAGTCTTTAACTGTACAATTGTCTTTTTTCCACAATTTACAAAACTTAATGAAACATCCGCGGTAGAGCACGTTCATGGCTTTCAGAAAGCTTCCGAAGTGATTAGCCAGACTGAAGAGGGGAGAAGGTAAACCCATTGTTGATGGTAACTGAAGCTATACCTGTTCAATTCGTCCCGCTTGAGCTTATTCAATAACAACGAGGTAAAATTAATACCAACTACTGCGAAGGGGAAATCCTGTAAGAAGAGTGATCATTGGTGTGAAAGATAGAGATGGAGGGGGTGGATTACATTTGGTTCATTCCGAGACAACATGATCATTTCTTTTAGTTTATCTTCTTGAACTAAGTTTGTCAAGCAATATAATTGAACTAATCCTAGAAGTCCTACACCTCGTAAATCTGTTGATGGGTTCGTTCCTTCAAATGGACTTTGTTATTTTCGTCAAAACTCATGTTTTTTCTCTTGTTTTCTCATTACCTTGAAAGCCCACAATTTGCCAATGACTACCCATGTGTGGACATTCGTTGGCAAGCAATGGATCATCCAATGCTAGACTGGCTGTTGAACGATAAAACTCTCGCAACAACTGCCAATGATTAGCATTCTGACTAGAATACTCTTCTGAAAACAAGGATGATGATTCAGGATATTCATGTTAACGAACTTTTGCTCATTGCTATCAAGAGTATCCGCTCATCTTTCAGTTGTTCTGTTTGTAAAGATGAAGCTGATGAGGACGGCTTGCATATGCATCGAAGCATCAGCTTGTTCATTGAAAATTCATCTGCTGTTTTCAATCCTGTTAAGCTTTCCTGAAGATATTGAGTTAGAATGGATGTTCGAGATCCACGAGCCTTCTCTAACTGATAGTCATCATTGAGTACTCTAGATATGAGAGAATCGTCTGGTATGCCGGAATCCCAGGAAATGGGCTGATCGCTGATAATGTCATCCATACAATCATCAACACTTCCTTGAGTGATTTCAATGCGGATTGGAGTGCCAGAGCGAAACTTCAATTCAATCTGCAAAGCTCAACATGTTATCGATTCGTACAAAAATGAGGAAAAGAATAATTTAGTTGGAGAATCATCTTACCTCACTCCATTCATCGAGTACTTTTTCTCGTTCTTCCCGCCATTTGCGTTCTTCTTCACTCATGGGAGGGACTGTTTTATAGACAGAAAAAATACCCAATGTTTTCTCAAGTAAATAATAAATGGGCAAAGTGTATGAGGAGTTCATTTAATTATTTTACATACTCTATCGAGGATGATTCGTCTTGAACATCAAAGAGGAGTTTGCTAGAGTAAGAGAGACGAAATAAGAGAGAGAGAATGAGAAAGAGAATAAGAAAGAAAGAGATGTAGCTGAGGGGGATGAGAAGTATGAGAAAGTATTAAACAGATTTTCTCACTCTTTTCAACCTCTCCTTAACCGCAGGCGAGTTTTTAACTAAAAAAAGCTCGTTTAGTCTGCAAGCCAGCAAGGGGGTTGGACGTTGCTACTTCTTCGGGAATTGGGCATATCGAAAGTGGACTTGAAGGTGATGAATGTTGGAAAAGCTTTCAGGAGAAGCTCTATGTGCAGAGAAGGAGAGTTGAGAAAGAGAGAGAGAGAAAGATAGATAGATAGAGAGAGATAGAGAGAGAGAGATGGGAAGAGCATTTAATCTCAAATGATATACAAGAAAAAATTATTTTTTATTTTCAATAGAAAATCAAATCTAATGTCAGCTTCTTAAGCTCACGTAATCGAATCAAACAAAAAGATTTTTCATTAAAAAAGACATTTGAGCATTTGCATTTCATATTTGCTCAATATCTCTGATTCTCTTCGTCAGCTGCGCACTAACGTCATCTTTTCATTGTTCATTTCCATTTTTTATTCTTTCTTATCATGTTGAAGCATGTTGTGAAAGATATAAATGATGAATCATTGTACGAAATAATTAAAACAGTCTATTATAGAAGTTTAAAGTAAATAGAAAGATGGCTGTAAAACAGTCTTTTAACTCTTTCAAAGAAATACGTATGAGCATCAAGCCAAATGGCCGTTTCCATAGTAACATCGACAAGTATTTGACGTGAGTTCAATTCATTTTTTTTCTTCTCTCCCTCTCTCTCTCTGTTTCTACCTGGCTTCCTCTCTCTCTCTCACTCCCTCTCTCGCACAGGTTAAGAGCTGGTAAAACATGAAACGAGAAGAGGATCGGCAGCGCAATCCAACACAAAGACGATATGGGATGGCAGACAAGAGAATTGACAGAATAAAAAAAAAAGAAAACTTTTTGGAAAATTAAATTAAATTTCATTAAAAGCATCTATCATGCTGTGCGAATTGTTCGAGGGGGGGGGGATGGCGGGCCGCCGTCCGTTCAAAAACATTTCCTTTCTCATCCACTTCCATAATAATAAATAAATAAATATTTATTTATATATTTTAATCTTCTTTCATCAAGAGTTATCGATTTTCAGTTTGTACATCATATAATAATATCAAAAAATATATATTTATATATTAATATAATATATATGATAATAGATAAGAGAGAAAGTAATAAAAAAAAGAGAAATTTTTAAACTTACTTGATACGACTGCCATCCATCTAATCAACCGCTCTGTGCGTGTGTATAATATGCAAATGAAAATGATAACATGTGCTATATGTTCACGTGAATGATTTTTCACGTGTTATGCTAATTTATGACGTACATACAATGCTTATATGCTATATTGCTAATTGGACAGGAAAACAATATAATTCATAATTGCAAAATACATTTTTATTATAAATATATAAATGAGCAGAATAGTAATGACTAAGAGATATATGCAAGGATATTCAAATAGGTGAGTATCAAGTCATGCATTAAGGTAACAAGCCGATCCATATAGAGTATAACATGAATTATAAAATTACATACAGCAAAAGCTGTCTAGAAGAGAAATCATTAGCCCTGTGTTTGTATGACATCTAGCCGATACACAAGTCAGAACTAGCTCGTACACTAGATATTTAAACTGTATAAGTTGAACAGTCAAACTTTAGTCAGAGATTTCTGTCTATCTCCACACTCCACTGCAGCAGTTCGCTGCTTTTTGTTAAAATAATATTTCATCAATGATAGCAGTTGAGTCATGTCTGAAATCTGACAGAATGAGAATATCATGAACAGGTGATATATTTTCGTGTACACGTCGATACGCCTTAAAACTCTCTGAAGAATGTTCAATCGTACCTCTTTTCATTTTTTTGTTATAGAATTCGTTGTGAAAAAGAATAAGAATAGAGTTTAGAATCCCATGAAATGACCCGGCGCCCCAGATGATGAGACTGACATCTGTAAAGCTTCACATCAACACTGTTAACTTATGAGTTCAACAGTACACAAATGAACCTCAACTTTAAAGAAGAAAATAACTTCTGCTGCCATGGCAGGGATTGCATGGCACATAGTTGGGAACGTACACTGAAACGGATGAATGGTAAGAATCATAACGAAGATTTGTTTAGGTTTTTAGTTTAGTTTTATGAATGTTTGAGGCTCAACCTGTATGATTGTATTCTTCAACAGCTTCATTTGCAACTTATGTGTAGTCGGAGAAATATAGGATTTCCGTTTTAAAATCATCCGAAAAAAGGTGCCGAACAAAGGAGGCAGGACACTGACGCCGACAACTGTGGGAAAGATGAGTCCATATACAGTATATCGAATGAAATCTTCGTCATCCATGAATGCATAATCATATTTCTTCAGTTCAATGAAGTGCGGACAGTCCTGAAGATGTTCCTCATGTTCAGCATATACTACAAGGAGAACTAACCACCAACAGCTGAGGGTTTTTATGCAATTTCTGATTGTTAATTAGTATCCAGATGAATATGATAGTTGTTGGAAGCGTAGTGATGGCGAAGAATGAAAAGTATGACAGACGGAAGAACAGTTGATGCCGATCACCAAATAAAAAGATAGTGAACCGATGAAATATGACAAGAGCAGCAATAAGAGTAGCATATATCTGGCATATCAGGTTTATATAAACGGCGTTGAAAGCATTCAAAATAGAAATGCCTCCTTGAACTACTAGGAAGTCCGGCATGTACTGTATCACAGTCTGAATGATTCAGAAGTAGAAGGATGAAGACGTTTCCATTTTATTTAGATAGATTTTAGATAATTACCGATAAGCCGTTGAAGATTGAAGAAGTGCAGGCAACCACATGGTATATAATGAAATAGACTCTATAATACTTGTCTGTATGAGGTGGAGTGATCAAAATCAGTAAGGTAAGTGTGTAAAGTGATAAAGGTATTCCAGCTGATCCTATAGTCATGGACATAGCGATGAACCAATTGGGCACAGATTGAAAATTCTTGGGACAACTAATCATTTGAAGATGATCAGACAAGCATTTACTTCACGATTGCACGTCCTGTGAGTAGATTTTAGAAGATCAAATTTAGCAATCGAAAGAGAAGGAGTGGCTGATCGACTGAATTATTTTCCAAATTCGCCTTGCATCAATCATTCATACTGCTCTGATTTCTAATGGATTTCACGAATGAAATGCTGAAAAAGTTTTTCAGCTGTGAGATATACTCGGTGTTCAGCAAGCTTTCTGAAAACGATTGCAAGCTCCGAATAACATTTCTCTGCCAGCTCACTGTTGCGAAGCAAAAATGAAATTCCGGGTTAACGTAAGACTCTTCTTGTATTCTAATCTATCATCGCAGGTTCATTCTTCTATATTCATACTGTCAAATGTGTGTTCTGCCCGATCCTATTCTTTCCTCTCTTACAGATGTCCATTGCACACCCCTCTCTCTCTCTTTAATTTTGATAATGAGTAAAAGAAAGTGATATTCCTATCTACCTTCATCGATGAACTAATTGAAGTCAATGGCACGGTTGGATGAAACCAGCGTTTTGGTAATCTGAATCTCTTCTCTCATTTCACAGAACTGACTCGAAAATTTCTTGAAAACACCGTCTGCTCATGCATTGTTGAACGCCCTTAGAGATCAAACGATTTTCGGTTATACTTTAGACTTTTGAACGTCAATTCACTGACAAAGAATAAATATTCGAAACAGATGGTTGAGATTTTCTTAACTTTCCCCTCGATAAACCTATACTTCTTCTGATTTCCTTACTTCTCACATCTCTATCATCATCACCAATTTCTAATTCAACAGAAGAGTTTACTCTCAAGTGACAAGTGCATATTCACAGTTAATCACCAATTTATGTCATATTTCCGTTTTTGTCGTTTGAGGATAGAGTTTGACCTGTTGCCTGTCCCACATTGGCTTTGCCATCTTCCCCGATATTGTCACGAGCTTTGAGCCAATGATCCATCAGAGCCCTGTCCATATCTCTTCTGTGCGAGTACGTAGAGTCAGTGCAGACGCCCTGACATGTCACACCTGAAACAAAATATTAAATATGTGAAGATAGAAAGAGACTTACAAAATTTCAAGTCTACGTATGCCATATTGTTAAGATAGAACAGGCACTTACGCTTTTCTTTTTTGCACGCTTCACAGAAATCTCTATTCCTGAGACCATCCCAAGAGTCCTGGAGGCGTATAAAGTCTAATGACAACATGCTTACTCGAAGAGCATTTTAAGAACATTTCACAACTTACTATTAGGATTTTGGAGAAAACGACCTAATAATTCTTTCGTTACTGCAGACATCTGCTGTAGATAGGTGAATGATAGATGGGATGTGATTTGTGAGGTGATTTCATCATAATGTTATTATGTTATCATAACAACTTTATTTTGAAATCACCTTAAGTTATGAGGAAATGAAGCAGATGTTGTTCGTTGTGAGAGTTTCCTTCCCCTAGTTGTACGAGTTGTCTCGCCTTCAGAGTTTCCTTCCCCTAGTTGTGCAAGTTGTCTTCGCTTGAGAATCTCGGTTGCCAAGTTTTGCAATTGTATAGTTTCTCATTTTCTACATTTCACTTCTGATCTTTTCTTTTATTCATCCGAGACACCTTTATTTTCAACAAATCATATCATTCTATATTTCTGTTTTTGTAGTTTGAGAATTGATTTTGATCTTTCGCTTGTTTCACATTGGACGGAACTCCCGCCAATTTTCCTCCTTGTGAGATCAGTGTTGATGTG